GACACTGGCATTGTGCCAGTGTCAAACCATGACACAAGGTCAGGGGATGAGGAGATTGACAATGGCAGAGCAGATGGAGGACCCTTGCTGGGGCAGAGAGAGGAGCCTGCAGTGTCCTGAGCATGGCCCTCACCCCTGCACCCCTCACAGCTGGGGCTGGAGGGGGTGAAGTGAGGGAGTGGAGGTAAGCCCATGAAAGGGGGAGGAAATTTCTTGGTCTCCTGTTTATCTTCTTGATTCCCTCTACCCAAATCAATAAGCACATGTTTTACTTGAAAAAAAATAAATTAATTTTTTCAAGGTTGTTTGGCTGAAAATAGTAGCTGATAAACAATCTCTCTGTGTTTATTTCACCCTGTTAGTTTTTTTGTTCTTGTTACTTGTATTTTCTACCCCTGCCTGGCTGATCAGGAGCCTGAGTGGGAATTTAACATCTAGCAAAGGCTCGTAATCCACAGGACAAAAGGGGGTGAAACAGCTGGGGCTGAGATCTCAGTGTCTTCCGTGTCCATGCTTCAGGTGGTGCATCAGGCACATTTCAAGACACACAGTTCAGTTTAGCTGTTTCTGGAAGAATTCCATTTGGGTGATAAGGAGCTTCTCCATGATGCTCACCAGAGGATGGTTGGTAAGAATGACATAATCAAGTAAACAAAACATATTGATTTCCCTTTAAAACTTAGTACTACCACATCTATTTAAGTTATAAACAATCATATCTTGCTGTACAAAATATATAGAAGTATTTTAAGCAAGAAGCTTACTGTTGAAGATACTTCAGAATACTGTCACACCCAATCTGTGGCTGGAAAACTAATCCTTTAAAGGACTGAATCTGGAAAATCAGAATGGTGTATGTATAAAAATGAATTATATATACATAAAAATTACATGTGTCTCCCATCTTGCTAAGAAACTTGGAGCTGTCTATCCCAAAGAAAGATGGGGCTGCTGCAGTCTGTGCACATCACTTTTAAAATAATGAAATGGTGCTGTTATGTAGGCTGTTAGAGATAATCTAATTCTTCCATGAACAAACTTTGAAAATGTTCAGTATATTTGAATGTTTTAAAACCTTGGGTATCAAATTTTGAAAGGAAATTAGGTGTTTGTCAGAATTGTCAGAGATGTGTAGGATATTAGGTTGTTAATTCCAATGGGAATTTTAAGTGATACTCATGTTTTATGTTTTTAATCAAAGACTGATATATTTTTCTGTGCAATTACATAGAGCAGTTATCTTTTTTAGTGCTTTCAGCAATTCAATTTCAGTGCTGCTATCCACACATGAGGCTACATTTTCTCTGTGTGGTGATTATGGTTGGGAATTCCTTTTCCATCTTTGAGCTTTTCTTCTTTGTTACTGAAGTCTGAACTTTCCTGCTGTTTAAACAACTTTAGTGCCTCTCTAAATAAATAGCCAGGTCTAATATGGAAACTTTAATATATCTCCAGCTGCTAAAAAAACCTCCAAGTTTTGTAAACAGACTGAAATTCTGGAACATTTATTGGTAACAGTTGTGTAAAAGGATAGCTTGTAAACGCTTTTTAAATTATGATGTAAAGTATGAGCCTGTGTGCTGAACTAGTTAAATGGAACACCAGATCTCTTTCCCTGTTCCTGGTTGTGTGACAATACCTTTCATGTAGCTGGCAGAGAAACTTCTAAAACTTGTGCTTTTAAAACTTGCAGTTCTATTTATTATCACTGTTGTCAATTATGTCTAAATTTGAAAAAAGTGCTGACAGGGAAGGCTTAAAGAATGAACCAGAAAGTAATTTCTTCAGCCATGTCAAGAACAAGAGAAAAATGAATAGATGAAGGGTTCAGAAAGGATTCAAATTAAGTTAAATAGTCCAGCCAGTAAAAGATGACAGTTTGGTTTAGATTCCAAGACATGCAGGGTATGTTCTTTCAACTAAATTTTGTTTACTAGTGGAGGAGACTGCTGTAAATATGGGATACATGACCACTGCTAAATGACACATCACCTCTTGCTGCTTTTAAAGCCAGCTTGCTCCATTGGCAGATTCTGGAGTTGTCTTGAATCTTCTGTAGATATCTGGAATATGAAAGGCTAATTTGAATATGGGATGTGTGTCTGGGACCTTTATTACTACACAACATGGCTCAAATACTCAGCAGAGGTTTAGAAGACTTAACAGGAGGTAGCAAATAGTTAATACAATGTGGTATTCAGAATGATGCCACAGATAATATTGTGGCTCACAAGATAGTAACAGGATTTTTCTTGGGTTATCCTCAATCACCTTGTGTAAGCGAAGTTTGTGTTGGATTCAGAACATGTCTGTGGGTACTTGGGACTTTATTTACCTCTTTGACCTGCAGAGGTAAAATTTTAATTCAGTCTAGAAAAAGCATTTGATAAATGAGTGAATGCTGATGTCTCTTTTTTTTGAGTGATAACAATGAAATGTGTCATCTCTGCCTTTTCTCCTCCTCCCCTTTCCTTTTTACTGGTCTTAAACATGACTTATTTTGACCTTTGGGTCACAGCCCAAATGTACTTCAGAATCCATCATCTCTTTCGTGCCCTGTGGCTTTGTTGAATCAGTGTGGTATGTGCTTGTCTGTCTCTTTATACCTCGTTTTCTTTTTCTTAATAGCCCTACTGTTGAACAAGTCCCTGCTGTGTTTAAAATAGGACTTTGTTCTGCTCTTAGCCCCAAGACCCCTTAGTCATAAAAACCCTTGTTCTGTAACTTCTATTCATTTGTTTTCCTGTTTGGAGATTTTATTTTCCACTTTGTTTCTCCTTCCTCATGTGCTGGTGCTCAGTCTGAGCAATTGCTGCACTCATCCAATATTACACAGAGGAATGAGGGAAATGGCAGCATATACTTTCTTCCTTTCAGTTCTAATTCCTTTCAAATAAAGCCCACAAAGTATTAATAAAGGGAGCAGCCAAAATAAACTATTTTGAACACAGTCTTTGCCTGTATATAAAGCAGAACTTTCCTGCAATTTCATGTTGGGTATTTTCACTTGGCTTTCTATCTGAAATAGGTATTGGATCCACAGCAAAGTGTGGTAGCATTAAAGTTGTTATAAAGTAAGAGACAAAATAAAAGCAGCCTGTTTTCTGAAGATCATAGTCATTCCCAGAATCACAGTTTTTCATTCTCTTACACTGGTCTCAATGTGCTCATATCTGATCCTGTTTAGAAAGGACTGGATGTGTACTTGGGTGAACCTCTCTGCCTAGGAAAGGGGTGGGAGCCATTTAGTGTCAAATCATTGCCTATTGTGATGGAAGGGAAGGTTACAGTGTGGCTTCAGTAGTTATTCTGCATTAAGGTGATGAAAAACTGATAATGTGAGTATTTTCCATAGTGAAAGACATACTGCTGTTTCCTTAGGTTGTAGAATTTCACCTAAATAAATAGATGGAAAAATAAAGGCCAAATTTTACATTAATTTCTTTATCAACATTTCTTCTGTATCACTGAATGATTCTTCTGTTCGCTGTTCTGCTGGCACCTCCTAAGATGCCATTACATTATGGTTTCTAAAGGATTGCTCTGTCATTTTGCTTTTAGATTGTATTTGCAGGGTTGTGAGGGAGGGGACACATAATGCAGGTGTAATATGAAAGTTCTGGTAGCAAAATCTGCACTTCGGGATCTTAATATTTTTTTTTGATTGAAATGTAGTCATTTCCAAACTCTCAGCTTTTTATTTGAATGTATAGATGGCTGAAAGATCCAGAGTCTGGCATAAATCTGAGTTACCTGTTACATGCTTCATATAAAGGAATGTTTATCTTGCTGCTTGCATTTTTCAGTATAATTGATTCATGTTAAGAATGTAAGAGGGCACCTGTGAAAATAGTGCATTGTAAATTTCTTACTAGTGTAGCCCAGTTATATAGTGATTGTTCTCAAACCAAGAAATCATGTTTTTATTTCTCTATAAATGCATGTGTATGTCATTCTTGAGCAATGACCAATTGTATGGAAAGAGAATAGGAAAGTAAAATGTGTGCTTCAGAATTCATACTGATATTTTCCTCACTTATGAGATTATCATCAAAGCTATTCATTCAAGATTTTGCTATACTTTCTAGAATGTAAGTAGACAACTTAAAAAAAGTTTAAGGATGATTAAATAACAGAAATACCAAATTGTTTCAACAAAGAAGAAATAAAATTAATTCAGAGTGGTTTGGTTTTTTGCATTTCTTTATCTGCAGAAGGATTGATTTGTGATCAGAAAAAGTAAGTGTGTTGTTTAAAACAAAATCTTTCAAGATTTGAGAGATTTCAGAGCGGTTTCTGCTCTTCTTTTAACTGCAACTTTTCCTACTTTATTCACTCTTTTCTAGAGCAGAGACACAAACTAACATACGTTGATTAAAATTTCCATTATCATTTAATATTATGTGATTTTAAAATAAATGCTATTGAAGAAGTAAACTGCAAGAAATTTAACCGTAAGAAAAATACTTCTTTACTTCTGAGGATGATCAGGTACCGGTGTAGGTTTTCTGGGGCAGGTTGTGGAGTTACCACACCTGGACATGTTCAGAGCTCAGCTGGGTGTGGCCCTGCACCATCTGCTCTGCTTCACCTTGCTTTGAGCAGAGGCTTTAGAGTAGAGACCTCCAGTTCTTACTAGTTCTGTAGTGTGGTGTAAGTCTGTCTTCTGCATTTGGAGGTGATTCTGCAGTGTTGTTAAATATTTAGGATTAAAATCTCAGTGTAGTCTGCACCTGTACATTCAAGGAACTTACTTCTGTAGAGTTCTTCGTATTATGACCAAGGAGATCTTCTATTAATATGTGAATTCAAGAATATGTTAAATTTTGAGACATATGTGAGTATTTGAATTAAGCATAATTAAATATCATCTTGTCAGAGTTCTTTTTAAAGATGAATTGATTTTTTAGAAATTTCAAATGTGTACATATTTCCAAACATAGTGTTCTAAACAGCTTGAATATATAGCTAACCTGCAACTACCTTCTTGTCTTCCACAGATCTGAAGAGAGAAGCCAGTATTTGTCACATGCTGAAGCATCCTCACATTGTTGAACTGTTGGAGACATACAGCTCAGATGGAATGCTTTATATGGTCTTTGAGTTGTAAGTTTCTTGCCTTGATTTTACCTTTCCATGTTGTCATTTGCTAAATAAAATCCTAAAAGTATGTCTGCTCATTGCTGTAGGTTTTGTAGCTCAGAGGGCTTGAGTCTGAACACCAGGGCTTTCTAAAGAAAGGCATGATCTTTTTTGATGGCTGCAGGGTAAGAAAAGTTGAAAATCTGCTGATAGACATCATCTTTGGGTAACTGAGGGTATTTTGTTCCAGATGTGAAATTTTATTTCTTTTTTTTCACACTGTTCCTTCTTTAGCACTGCTTTTCTATTATTAGATAAGGAAGTAAAGTTATTGCTGTTTTTAAGTGTTCTTATAAATCAATATACTTGTTCACAATATATGAAAAGGGTTTGTTTTTTTTTCTACAAGATCTGTTTTGGAAGGTTGAATGTAAGAGTTTAGTTGTAAGAGGTAGGAAAATGTGACTTTTCAGCAATGGACAGGTATTTTTATTCAACATCAAGAAATGAAGAAGGGAGACAGCCCCAAAATGACCACATTCTTTTCTTTGAGGAAACCTTCCTGAGTTAGGTTTATCTAAATGGGAGGGATACAGCCAGACATGTGAAATGGTCTTTTGTGCATGTTCTGTATTGGATCTTCTTTCTCTCTGCCTACCAGCTCTTCTTTTTGTGCTCCCTATATATTCATTCCTAGTCAGTTTGGGCATATATATTTTTACCTCCTAAATTTCTCTGATCTTCCTCCGTTATGTTTTCTGGTGGATTTGAGCTGCTGATGTTGGAGTAACCACATCACAGAGGTTTGTTAGGTAAAACTGACTTGCCCACTAGAGCCAAGAATTTGATTTGAGATGTCCACATAAAAAATAATTCTCACATGTTTTACCACTGAGGTAGTAGAAAAGCCACAACAAAAACATTAGGTAAAGCAGAAAATTGGGTGGTTTTTAGATGAATTCAAAAACTTACAATTTTGTGAAGTAATTGTTCTATGCTTTCCTCTCTGTACATTTTTATTCAATACTGACTTTGCATTTTATTTTGAAAATCCCAAAGCATTGACCATGGGACTTTAATTACCCTATTATGAAATAATTATGTACACCTTGGGTAGTCATACTCAGATAATTAACAAGATTTTGAAATGGGAAAAAAAAGGGGTTGCTTCTATTTTTAACATGCTGATAACTCAGAAATAGGAGACAAAAGCAGTAATTATTTTTTAATGACAATCCTATTATAATTTATGTTTGTACACACAAAAAGCAAGTCTGAACAATTAGAATTACTACACAAATACTGCACCTGACTTCAGGCCACATGAAAGAAGGAATTACAAAGCTAAATTATTTGAGGAATGATGATTGTTTATCATATGTATGTCCTTGTCTCCTTTGTACACAAGAGTCATCAGTCTTTTGTAGCAGTGATGGAAAACAAGACTATAGGAACACCTGTGCTCGAGCTGTGGGAGGGAGGGGAAGGGCTGTGGCAGGATGTGGTGCTGTGCTGGAGGGGATGCTTTGGTAAGGGATTCAGCAGCAGACTGGTGTTTGTGTGGAGTGAGACTGCATTGTCCGAGTCTGAGCAGCTAAGGGGCACACTCTGTAACTGTGACCAGAAAAACAAACTTGGAGTTAGCAGAAAAGCATCTCTGTACATCTCTGGAGGTAATTAATTTTCCTCCATGCTGCTTTCTGTTCATTATGCTGTTACTGTAACCAGCTCAACTGATTTGCAGCAAATTGCTATCTACAGTAATAAAATATATTTTATTAGAGTCTAGTTACTCTGAAGGGACTGAAGAGGGGACAACACAGATCTGCAGACCTAAACCCTGCTGTGATGAGTGATTTATGGGCTCACAGGTGCTTTGCTTGAAAACTAAGGCAGGCCTAGCACATAAAATGTGTGGAATAACCAAACCTAAGTCTTGGTGCCATCACTTGAACATAAATGATACATTTTTTTCACTGCTGTTTCATAGGCTGTGAGCTTGCTGGGGCAGCTGCTAGGATGACCTTGAATATCTTGCCAAACCTACTGATACAGGAGAAGTACAAATGAAACAAGCAAATGTACCATGTACCTGGGAACAGCTGATTGAACCACTCAGGAAAATGTACAATTTGTGCCCAGTTTGGAAAGCTTTTGTGAAAATAAACATTTTAAAAATCAAACTGCGATTCATAGAAGCACCAATGAAGATGCACAGTAGCAATAACATTTAACACCAAAAAATGAGCTCTGTTTTGAACCCCTTATTCATACACAAGCTCAAGCACTCTTTAGAATGGCCCATATCTCAGATTATTACCAGTAGGCTGCATGGTGCTGCTGTGATAAATTGCACTGAAGCAGGTGGCCATAATAAGTAAAGTGCATGTTTAGGGTAAGAAGCAGACCCTATCCCAGAAGGCCTTATTGCTAAGGTGAAAATATTATTTTTAAAGTGTTTATGTGTTACTGCATTACAAATGAGAGAGAATCTACCTGTGCAAAATTATTTCCCTCACACACATCCCAGCTGCCCCCCTAGAGGGACTCTACTCTGAAGGAAATGATCCCTTGGAGATTCTGGAGACACCTTATGTCTGGGAAAGGCCACTTCTACTCTATTATAGAGTTGCAATTTTCTTTCCCATTTTTGGTGTTATTTGCTGGCAGCTGTGTAGAATCATTGGGTCATTTAGGTTGGAAAAGACTTCTTAAGATGATCAAGTCCAAGCATTAACCCAGCAGTGCCTAGTCCACACTAAACCACATCCCTGAACTCCCCATCTACACATCTTTTAAATAACACCAGGGATGGTGACTACACCATTAACCTGGGCATCCTGTTCTCATGCTTGACAACCCTCTCAGTGAAGAGATTTTTACTGCTACCCAATGTAAACCTCCCCTAGCACAAATTGAGGCCATTTTGCCTTTTGTGATTGCTTTTGTTACCTGAGAGAAAAAGCCAACCCTGACCTGGCTACAACCTCTTTCAGGCATTTGTAGAGACTGATGAGGTCCCCTATAATAAGCCTCCTGGTTTTATTTAGAATACTCTTTTCTCTGTGGTATACAAGTGTCACTTAATATTCTATTACTTTTTTTTTTCCTAATGATCATTGATTTTTATCAGTGAGAATACTTTGAGAAGGGTCAGAGCTACTTGCAATATTTCTAAAAGAAAGTAAATATTCATTTTGAAGGGTCTGAAAACTAGATTTTAGACTTATGAGTACATTATTTGTAGTTTATCCTCTGTAGGTATGGACTGAGAGTACTTCCACGCTGAAGAGCTCAGATACAGGAGCAGTGAGTGCTATCCAAATACCTTGCTATTTGGTAATTTGCAGAATATTGTCTCACTATACTTAGAGGGATTTGTTTTTCTTGGAGCATTCTAAGAGAGATTTATATCTTGGGACATTAGAAGAACTGATCTGTTAAGATTTAGCAGTTAGGATATATATATATATATAAATATCTAGATGTATACATACAGCTTTGCCATTTAATGTAGCTAACATGTAAAAATGCTTCAGGTTTAAAATCACAAATTCATAAAAGCAATAGTTAATAGGGTTGCAGTTGGCTTATTTGAGGTAAGTGAAGAAGTCTAGGAAAACTGTTCGGGTGAGGGCGAAAATGCCATTGTGCACATGCCTTAAACATACATGGTACAAAACTCAGTAAGAGCAGTCTGTCAACTCTGAATTCTTTTATCTTACTTCTATTAACTAATAATTCAGTTCCCTGAGTGAAGCAGTGCTTCTAAAGCTTTCTCATTCTTCATCAATAAATTAAATTGTAGACCACATCCTATTAGGTCTGCAAATTCAAAGCTATCATACCCCAATATGAAAACACAGATTTCTTATGTAGTATGTTGTCTGTTCTTTAGTCACTGCTGGTGTCAGAGCAGATCTATAGATATACATATATTTACTTATTGTGTATAATTATTTATTTACATTTAAAACACATCAGTCCCAGTCAGTTCATGTCCCTTCCACGAGCTCCCTCTGCTGGTGTCAGGTAATTCTCTCAGGCTACAACTGAGTTCTGATTTTTCCCAAATTTTTGTGTGTCATCCACTTACGTCCTTAGCATTAATATATTTGTATCTTTACTTCAGTGGATTTTAACTTATCTGTTTTTTTTCTATTTTTGTGGTTTTCACATGCTTTTGCTGATAGTTGCAAACCCTTGAGACTTCTTGAACTTTCATCCCATGAGTATTCCAAAACTTCTTTGCTCTTGTACCATACAAGGCTTTCAATTTCTCCAAAGTCATCTTGTGGTCGAGCTACTCTGAGTTTTTACTCTGTTGGTTAACTGAATTTTCTTAGATTTCTTATACCTTAGGTTGACTCTGGCTTTTTTTCAGCCTCAGCTAGACAAAAGTCTCATGATTTTTAGGTAAAATTTAATATTATGTTTTGAATATATTGTGTCACATGGAGTGATAAAAGCCCTTTTAATACATTAATCATAATCTTCTTTTTAAAAAAAGGGTTTTGTCTTGAAAAAATGGTCAGTTGAAGTCCGAGATTGAAGTACACCTGACTCATATTTGTGCTTGGGAGGCCAACAGAGTTCATCTTAATGGAGTAAAACTTATGTGCCAAGAAGAAATTCAAACTGGCACTTAGTGGTACAAAATTTCAATTAAAAATGCTGGAATCTGTAAGTGGGAGGTAGAAATACATGTTAAAGACCATGCTGATTATAAACACCTTGTGTAATAGAAAAGTTAATGTAGAAATATTACACTCCTCCCTCCATGTCTCAGGAAATATTGGTGCTGCTAAAAAGCTTGAGTGCTTCTGGATCCTTAATTTCACTGACTTGTTATAAAGTACAGATAATTAGTCTTCTAAAGGGTTCTGCTTCTTCATGAGAATGACATCTCCTTATTTTTGGTAATTGATCATACATTTTGTATATTCTACATTTGAGAAAGGGTTGAGAGGTTGTCAGGAGGGATTTTTTCCCATGAACCAGTGAATTAATTCCAGGTTTACACTGCTCTCAGTGACCCTGCCCCATGGCTGCTGTATGGACTCTGTGATATCCTCTGGGTGATATTTAGCCCTGTATGTAGACCTGGTGTGAGGAGTTGTGCAAGACAGAAAAACTGCTGGGTAAAAAAATCTACAGAGGGATATTGATGCAGTGAAGAACAGACATGGTTTGGCAATATGGGGTTCTTTGCACTCTTCAATGTGCTTTTCTTTTGGTCACCAGTCCCTCTTACAGTTGTCAGTGCTCTATCCACATGATAGTGTATTTTGCATGAGGGAGACCTCTGGGATTTATTTGAGAATTGAAGCTTCTGCACATGGCTTGTGGCTCCCTAAGCAGAAATTTGGCATTGCAGGTATGTAACAAAGCAGAAGTGAGGCTGATATTCTGAATAGTTTACTGAAACAGCCTTGGGAGAGTTGGCTGTCCAGATGCCCTGGAAATCCAGCCTTTTGGGTTTTTTCCCCCCTTGATTCTTTGTGGAGAGTAAAAAAGAAAAGGTGTGAAGGCTGAAGATATCACGTTACATTCAGTATTTTTGCAAGTGTCTTATTAAACATGAGTTATGTGATTTTTTTGTTCCTGTTAACTCTTGTTACTCTCTTCTTGCCCCATCAAGCTGTGTGCATTTCTAGATACCAATCTTAGGTCCCTTTCAGGAGAGGGAAAAGAAGGGCAGCACCAGGCTGTTTTCATTTTAGAGAAATGGCAGCCTAATTTCAGACTAAGGTCTGTAAATATATCTGCATCCAAAGTGTAATGCTGCTCATTGTGGGAAGTTTGGTGATCAGAAAGATGAGGGAGAAAAGGAAAAAGGTATCAAGTTTCAGAGCTGGTGATACAGTATGTGTGGGCTGTCAGTGTTCTCAGGTATCTCTGAGCTGTAAAATCTCATCTTGGCTGCTTAATTATCCACAGGAGAGTGCCAACTGGCAAGACTGTACTGTACTTCTAGAGTATTTTTTAAGTCTTCATTTAAAATTCAAATTGAGTAACATTTTTTATTACTACAGTGTTTAGAGTTGCAATTGTAATGCCTATAAGAACACACTTAACCTAGTACCAGGAGTTAATTGTTAAATTGCAGTGTCCTCTTTGCAGGGCATTGACTTTTCTTGCACACCTTGTTCAATGAGCAGTTTAAACAATTAAGTAAATGTTTGGTATTGGTAACGCTTTAAGAGAACTTACATGACTTGAGGGACATAAAATGGTTAACCTGTGGCAAGCCATTTTCTATTAGATTACCCATTAAATGCTGTTTTAATTGAGTAATGCATTGTACTTGTATTTAGAGTACTTTATGTAAGATTTATGTAGGGGAAATAAATAGATTTTTTAAAGCATCTTTATGTAATTGATTTTAATTATCAGTTGTAAGCATTTTTGCCTCTTTTCACCTGCAGTATGGATGGAGCAGACCTGTGTTTTGAAATTGTGAAGAGAGCAGATGCTGGATTTGTCTACAGTGAGGCTGTAGCCAGGTATTTATTGTAATTTTAATTAATCCCTTAGGATAAATAGGAAAGAATGAAATATAGTGTTGTACAATCTGTTAGGTAAAAGTTGAAACTTGTACTATAAATAATCTTGTTTCTGCACTCTAGATGTTTATTGCAATAATTAGCATAATCAAAGTAGAATTTTGGAGCATTTTGCCATTTACTAGTTACAGATTTGGATGAATTACTGACTAAAACTGCATTTCACATCTGATACCTAATTGGCTGTGTTTGCCTTTATGGATCTCTCATATGATGGCATTAAGTGACTTGCCTGACAGGGTGAGGGTTTTACTGGTCTTGCTAGATGGAGTTGGTTTGGTTTTTTCTTTCTAATGTATCACTGTATTTATGGTCACCTCACCTTTTCACTTATGAGATGATCTAAGATGAAGGAATCTATAAAATTGCAAAAGGGTAATGAGATCCACTTTCTTAATTGGCCTGATTGTTGAGCTCAAAGCCCACAGCATTCTTTGTTTGTTTTTCTCAACACTATAGATTTTTTAGCATTATAGGTACTAGGATGAAGGAGACCTCAATGTCTGTATTTGAACCCCTTGCTCATGGCAGGGTCAGCACAGCATTTGTGTCATGTTACTCAAGGCTTTCTCCCGTGGGGTGTAGAATACCTCCAAGGAGGGAGGTTCCACAGCCTCCCTGAGCAGCTTAATCCAGCATTGTGATGTTCCTATGGACAAACATTGCCTTTAACCAGCTGGAGCCTCTGGAGGACAAGGATTGGCTCCCTTAGCCACAGTGATGCTGTGATGCAGCACAGGGTGTTGCTGCACGTGTTGGTCTTGCTGTAGGCAGTGATCTCTTAGGGCATCCTTTGGACACAGTGGAGAGCAAAGTTGCTCTCCAGTGTGCACCAAGCAAGCCAAGACCTTGGTGCAGTCCTTTTCCAGATAAATTTGGCACTGATATTCGCTTTTTTCTTTAGTTTTTAACTTTGTGTTTTGTTATTTAAAAAAAAAAAAAAAAACTGAGGGCTCTTGACTTCCTTGTCATATCAAGCAGAATTACTGAATATTTGAAACCTTTACAAAAACCTGGAAAACACAGATTTTTCTTTTCTAATTTTCCCCATCTTCAGTCAGAATAATTCTCAAGCTTTAGATTGTATTATTCACTACTATAAACCTAAACTCTATTCTACAAAACTCTGTATATTTGAAGTTAAATTGGTTGACTAGTTTTTATACAGTTAGACTCTTAATACTTAGATTGTTAAATATGTATAGTAATTTTTCCTGTGGGTTTGTCATGTATAATGTCTTTGTTTTTTCAGTCATTACATGAGACAGATACTGGAAGCTCTACGTTACTGTCATGATAATAATATAATTCACAGAGATGTGAAGGTAAGTGGCTTAATTACTTTCTTTTTCTTCACCACAATAGTGCAAAGTACAGATTTTCAATTTCTATGATTTAGAGAAGGGAGGAGCTCTAGAAAAGAAATCCCTATTTGCTGAGTGTGTCTTTGCTATTATTTTGTCATGTAAGATTAAAGCCCACCCTAATTCCATCAATACAGAATATTTAGAAGGTCTGTATTCACAAATTACACATGCATTTGATTACAACATGCTTTGAAAGTCAGTTTAATTTCTAGTTTTTGAATATTCATATGGAATCTGCTTGCATTTTCTTCTTGTTAGGAAAATGTGTATATAAATTAATTGCATAAGTTAAACTGGAATTGGTAGTTTATTGGCATCAATTTGACAGCATAATGACAGCCCTCATTCACACTAAGATTTCATAGAGATGTACAGGCTTAAGTGCTACAATATTAGCAATATTATCTACTTCTTGGAGACAGTCCAGTAAGCATTTATTACTATGAAAACTTCTTTAACATAAATAAGTTTGGGAGGATAAATGCAGTGTTTAAGACCAGTGTATTTACATACTGGTTTTAATCTGGTAAACTTTGTACTGTTTATGCAAGTAGTTTATCCTAAAGTACTTTTATGTAAGTAGGTGGGAGTTTTAACCCAAGTGGGCTTTATCTCTTCAATTTGATTATGCGTGTTCTTTGTTAATGTCATTGCCTAAAGTAGTTATTCCCACTTCTCCAAGAGTTTGGTTTCATCCAAAGTGAGTCAAGCACTGTAGGAATTAAGGAAAATACTATCAAGCTCTGATGGTGCAGTTTGAGATCTTGGATTTTAGCAAATAGAGAGATGGAGAGAGGGTAAACTCTGAACTCTGCTTCAAACTCCTGCAGGTGACCTGTGAGGGGAGAGAGTACAGACACTGAATTGGTGGTTTCTATGAGGAGTCATTTGATCTTTTATACCCAGACATTGCAGACCATTCGCAACCTCTTGCTCCTTTCCTTTTAAAAACTAGAAGATTATTATGTAACAGGCTTTCTTTTTAAGTTTGTTGTTTAAAGTAATTTCTTAAAGCAGAGTCTAAAATTAGAATTTTTGAGTATCAGCTCTTAATTGCTGGTAGAATGTCTCATCTTGTTCTGTGTTGAGGGTTCTAGGTACTTAGAGTTATTTGGTTTTGGTACCACATGAATTTCAGAATTATCATCTCTTTGTTGCTGTGTCTTTGTGGAAGCTCCACTTGTGTTATTTGGACCGTATTCTTGAAAAAAAACCCAAGTTTTAGCTTTGATGGCCTCTCAGGGAGGCTGTTTCACTGAGGTTAAAGTGGGGTTTAGTGCTTACCCTAACCTCAGACTCACAGGAGTTTTTAGAACCTCAGACTCACAGGAGTTGTTTTTTTTTTTTTTAAATACTATCCTTAGAAATGAACCTGTTCAAATTACATGGGTTAGGAAAAAATATCTAAGGCATCAGTCTAAAGCAGTGTAAACCCACAGTGTTTTGTTCTGGCAAAAGCAGTGTAGAGCTGTGAGGTCTGGGAGTTGGACACATTAAACTAACTGCAGTATCCAGGCTCTAGATGTCACTGTAGACGTTGTTTTGAAAGGAAATAGACTAAATGACCACTTCAGAAATTACCTGAATAAGTGAAAGTGCTTTGATACAGTCAGGCTACATTTTTCTCCCCTTTAGACTTTCTGTGAATGTTATTTTGAAATGTAAATTGCTTGGTCATTTTTTGCTGCACAGGAAAATAATCACCCTATAGCCCATGTAAGATTTAGGTGTCTTTCAGGTGTTTTTGTGCTCCCTTAGTTCCTGGCTGATTAGGAAGTTAGGCAGTTTAGAGTAGATAAAATTAAAGTTTGCTGTTGTCTGGTGCCAGAAGCTTCACCTGACTTTTCCAAGTGACTCAAGCCTGGGATAAATTCCCTGTGCCCCACATCCATGCCAGAATCAAAACATGAAAGCTTTCACAGGATGGCCTGTAGTTGTCCTAATTGCTCTCACTGCTCTGTGAAACCAGATGTTTCTTGAGCCTGTGTACATCATTTGACCCTCTTCAGCATTGCTTAAAGGCTTTATAAGCAGTGAAAATTACAAATTTGCTTCACCCTCAGTTCACATGATTCTGCAGTGCTTGGAAGCTGGATCATATGGTAAGGAAAATAGAAGATGAAGGAAGGTAGAAAACTCAAGACAGCTGTGCATCAGAAATGTGAATGTCAAGAACTTTTTCCCTTACCACAACATTTTTTTCCTGTTAATGCCAGCCTACTGATAGAGGACTCAGGAATTCCTTTTCTTCTGTCATAACCTTGCTATAGTGTCAGGAATACCCAGAAGGTGGCTCTTGAAAGTAGCAGCATTGAAAATAAGTCTTTTCCATTACCAACTGTTATTACAGAGCAGTTTGTGTACAGAGAAGTCTTTATATAAGAGAACAACAAAAGGGAAAGGGGAAGGTTGTGGGTCTGAAATGAGATTCTTGTCTTTTCCTGTAAAACTCTTGCTGCAGTTTGAGTACCATTTGTCACTGACTTATTTTTGCAATAACTTTAACAGAATGGTTTTTATCTGTAAAACATCAAGAGGTTTTGCAACCTTTTGTGAGCCTTTATTGTTATGTAGAATTTTCCATAGTTGCAAAAATGTTGTTATAAAAATAACTCAATATAACTGAGGGTTATAAGAGTGAGAGTATATAAGGTGTAAGAGTAATTTAATCACATCCAGAGCTTTAGTTGCTGGGGTCTTATCCTTAACTCATTCCAAGTACTCCAACTTTGTTCCACATAGTTTGAGTACCTGTATATGTTACTGATTAGTAAATTGGTGTGCAACTGTGGTCAAGGTGAGCCCGTCAGCAAAATGCAGACATCCAAAATTTTCATTATGGCTTTATCTTGATAGGTATGAATGCTTGTTTCCTACATGTGATCATCTAAATAGATAAACCTGCTAAAGCAAAAATACACATACTTTGCCTTCTCTGTCATTAAAATTTAGTTCAATATTTCTGTGACTGAGAGTCAAAACCAGGGTTTTTTTCCAGGGAATAGAACCAAGCATTATGTTCTGCACTGTGTGTCATATATACATCTGAGACTTGGTCTGTGAATAGAATTTGCATTGTGATTTTTGCACTGTACAGAACTTAACCTGTGATATGAATTCTGAGAGCACGCTCAGTTACCACTTCTGTCTTTCATTGCCTGAACTGCTTGTAGCTCAGCATTTCAGATTTTGCTGGTAGAATACAACACTCCTACACTTCTGCTTTTAGACATATCTAAAAAATGAGTAAAAGTAGTATATATGTGTGTGTGTGTGTGTGTGTGTGTTTATCTAACTGTATATTTGACTGTTTACAAAATTACCAAAATAGAGTCTGTTCTTTAATACCATCTTCCCTTTACTCCATCTTTGAATATCCAAACCAAGAAATCTGTTGTATGTTACTTTCCTTCCAGTCTTTTCAATCTTTTCACTTTGAAACTAATTTTATGCTTTCTGGGGATATTCAGTAATAATTGGTGTTTTTTTCTGTATTTTCTAGAGCTTAGTAGATCTTTGAGATCCAGTAGCAACTTCTTGGTGAGGATTTTGTCACATATTAATTTGTTAAAAAGTGATTAAGGCTGAAAAACCTGCAAAACCATCAAAGGTGCAATTGAAGTGTCCTACCTGGCCACCTTTTTTTCTGAGGTACACTTCCTCATTCAATGTACAAGGGACTCCAGAAACAAAACATTCAGTATTATTTCTCACTGTTTCTTCAGGCAGTGCTCTTTTCCCCCTGTTTATTTTCATTCCTGTGCCCCTGCTTCCTATGTCAAGGTCTCCTTGCTTGTTTTGTCCAGCCCTTTTCCTGTTGACCTGTTAGTATGTTCATAAACAATTTTGCTGAGAAAATTGTATTTATTCTGCTTGGCCTACCTGGAGTTGAACATTTAAAAACTTTCTGGTCACTAAGTTTATATGCTTCAGTCATTTACTGACACAGTCAAAAAGCTCAAAATGTCTTCTGATTGATGAGCTGGCAGCACATTTGAATGATTTAACCAAAAATTTGACAGGCTCTTGTGGTCTCTAAACTGCTTTGCAAACCAGGTGCTGTGCCTGTTTGCCTTACGATTTTGTGTTCACTGCAATATAAATGAATTGTTTATTGTTTTTATTAAACAATTCACATGTCACCTGCTAACTTCTGAATTTGGCACCAGCATGTCTAAGCAATGCAAGAAGCTTTCCACACGAGCTGTGTTCTGCTGTAGTGTTTTTCTAACTCTCACTCATCCCTCATGCTTCTAAGTTTTGGGGCATTTTCCTCTCTGAACTCTTCTGTCAAATGCTAGACCAATGCAGGTCTCAATTTGTAGTTTCTCAAATTGCCTGTACTGCACAAAAGCTTCTCCACTATTTGAAGTGAGAAAAACTTTGATGCAGTTAAGAACTTTAAAGGTAATCTTGGGCAGATTACATAGGATAGAAGTCAGGCATATGTCATTTTTTGGTGCTATGTCAAAATGTTGGTGTGGGATCTTGCTAAGAGTCTGTCACAAAGTTATATTTGATTAGTAGTTCCCAAAGTTTCATTTATTTTCTTGCCTTTTTGATAAGCACCGGGGAACAAGTGGTTGTGACTAGAAAAATGTAGGAGGAGTGTCTTCAGCCTATGCTGCCTTCAAAAACTGTGTTACGAGAAACAAGCCCAGGCAGGCATTTTGCTGAGATAACTGCAGCTACATTCCCTATAAAGTGTATTTCAGGAAGGACAGAAGTGTTGGGGTTTGAGTTCGTGTCTGTGCAAATCAGAAAAGCACTTTGGTAGTGAACAGCTCTGCTCACCCAGACTTGCAACTGATGACCTAAAAACCAGTCCTGTCAGCAGTGCTTTGCCATCTGGAAAGCTTTGACTGCTCAGTTCTGCCTTGTTATTTGTAGTTACAGTTGTGCTTCACCCATCCCAAGGAAAATGTCTGTGCTTTGTTCAACTTTATTGTAAAGGAAACCTGTGGCCAAAACTTGCTGATAGCAACAGAGAGCTGAGTCCTCAACTTCAGCCTAATTTTTGCCTTCTTCCTTGACTTTTTCAGTAAAAGGAACTGTCCACAGGTGAAATATGAAATATCTTTTGTATTACGTGGATGAATTACACTGTTCACTCTACAAACTCCTTGGATTCATTTGGATATACACATTGGATTTATTATGGCTAATGTTGATGTAGCAAGCAAGATGATTTGAAAATAAAATACAATATGTTTACCATTTTATTTAAATATTTCCCATTTTATATCAAAGCCTGCCTAAAGTTAGTTAAAATTTGTTTATTATTATTTATAGTCTATGAAAATCTTTCAATATTCCTTCCCATTTCAGTGAAAATATCAATATTGCATTTTTAATGTTCTGGTGTGGATTTTGTAAACAGGTCATAAAGACTTTTCTTAAATGTTTTATCTAACAGAAGGGATATAACTGGATCTAAACTGCTTTTAGTGGCAGCAAGACAAGTAAGGACATTTTTAATTTCCACTAGATAGTTCAACCTTGGACAGTCATTGTCTGTAAGCAGTACATAGAAAATTGGCCTAAAAATATGGTATGGAAGAAAACAGACAGTTAATATCATCTGGATGACAAGAATATTTCTTTTCACTGTTCTGTAAATTAGATGTTTTTCTCCAATACAGGTGTTTTTTTGTATTCTGCTCAGATGTCTGGTAAGAGAATAGTACGACCACAAAACGGTCATAAAAGACAGAAAAAAGCACACAGTGGCAAGATAAGCTGCAATCATTACAGGACGTTCACCAGCTTCTACCCTGACGTTGTAGCAGGTGGGGAACTCTCCTGAAACCTTCTCCTGGGCGTTGTAGGTGATGGCTGTGACTGTTATGCAGAGCACAGTCAGCCAGATAACGACGCACAAATATTTAGCGAACTTTGGCCGCCGGAAGCTGTGCAGCAGGCGCCCCTGGAAGGTTCCTGGCAGAGCTGGGGAGCGTTGTGTGCCACAGTTCTTCTTCAGCGTGGCGTACTGGCTGAGGGCGATGGAGCACAGGATGGTGATGGTCACGTACATGCTGACGTGCATCACCAGCGTGCCCAGGTGATGGGCGATCCTGCACGCCGCTGACTCGTAGGGCCAGCGGTGCCCGTCCGCAAAGTAGGTGGCCAGGAAGGGCATGGTGCTGCAAACCAGCAGATTTGCAATCACCAGGTTGGCCAGGTAAATGTACTGTGTCCTCCGGGTGTGCACTTTCCGTGAAAATATCCAGGCACTCAGAATGTTCCCAAAGATTCCAGCTGGAAACAGGCAGGAGTAGAGGATGGGGAGAGCTACGGTGGTAGCTGGCGATGGCTGAAGACATGATGAGTTGTTCATTTATGGCAGGATTTCTTGAGTGGTCAGAGCTGAAACACAGTTAAAATTTAATATTTCTGTAATGTGCATCTAACATCTCTTCTTTGCTCTTATCTCAGCTGTTTCTATCTCTCTGAATTTTTAGTGTTCCTTTGATGCTGCTGTCTTAAGTCTGCATGAGGTTACAGTTTGGGCATTCTCTTCCACTAAGACTTCATGAAGAAAAGTTAACCCTGAAGCTTTTATGTGCACAGAATGTAATAAAATAAATGAGGAAGCTGAAGGTTCAAGCTAGGGTCTGGCAGTAACTTCTGTGATCTTGGTTTATTCCTCAATCTTTTGGAACATCTGTAACCTAATTTGGAAACCACTTACAGACCATTTAAAATTAAATTAGCAAATTAAGTGCAAAGAGTTACTTTAATTCCAGAAATGCTGAAGAGTGTCTGTACCTCCATTTAACTAAAAATTATTCTGTATGCTGCAAGAATCTCACTATATGTATTTATTCTGTGCTCATGTCTGTATGTAGTGTTACTTTATCAGAGCTCTAATGTACATTTAGCAACTCAGTCTATATATTTTTAGCATATACAGTGGTTATTGAAAACTGCAGTATATTAATTTTTTCCAAGTTCTTTTTTCAGTCTTTTCTCAATTTCCAAACTGAAAATAAGAAATGAAAGCTCTGTGCAATTACTGTGTGTAAAAACTGATATTTCCATTTACAACCCTGTAGTGGAGAGTTTTTACTGTTGTATGCATAGGTATACATACATATTTTAGTGGAGTGTATCCTAGTTCGTTTTTTTTATATCAAATCATATAGAAAAAAAATAACAGATTTTAAACTTAGAGACAATATTTTTTTAAGCTGTAAACAAGTGAACTCAGATGCTAAAGAGGATTCAGTGTGACAATGATAAAAAGCACAGAGACCAAGTATAAAAACTATGCTGTACGCAGTGTTAGACAAACTTGCAAATTAAACTAACTTCTATAGTTCTTGTATTTTAGTGTACACTAAGTTCTGTATGTATTGTTGAATTAAAATATATTAAATTTTATTATTTTTATTTACTTTTATTATAATGGATTGAATTCACAAAGTAATTGTTTAATTTATTCATTTTAGAAGTCTAATGAAAATTTTTGTGTAACTGACCAAATTTCATGAAGTAAAACAAAGAAGTAGTAATTTTAAGCTTACCTATACAAGCTGCAGGCACCTTCCTTTGCTGAGAGGAAATACTTCTGTCTGGTATCTGTTTAATCTCCACTGCTGCAGTGAAAATGATGGCACAGGAAGCTGGAGAGTACAGTTAAAAAATTCTCTCTGGCATAACTAAGTTTTCAGAGTGTACACTTCCCTTTTACAATGGCAGGTGGGAGGCAGGCATTTACATTTTAGAAAATATGTATGTACAAAAAAGTACAAAAAAGGCTTTGAAATTAAGTCAGGAACAGCTCCATTAGGGAAAAAAAAAAAGGAGATAGCATGGAATAACAGCTGTAACAGTCCTTTAGGTATGGCACAGAAACACCTTGCAATCATTTATATAGTGCCTTCCTCTTTTGGGGGGTGGAGGTGTTCTCTTTAGGACTGCCCACTTTCCTTCATGCTGCTGTTTTATGCATGAAAACTTGTGTTTTCAGTCATATTTAACAGCTTTTCAGCTCCACAAGCTGTCACCAAGCTGCCTATCCCCAAAGGTCACATGCAGCAGTGCTGTGTCCATGTCTGTCCTCACAGAGTGACCAAATGGACACATCTCTTCTGTCTGGTCAGGTGATGGATTGTGTGGAAGCAATTTACAGCTGATGTATCCAGGGGTTCTGGCAGGGAAAATGGACTCACTGTCCAAGAAATGCAGTGTTTCACACAGATCATCCAGAGGTGTACACAGGACAGTTTCCTTCCTCCACAGCATAGATGTGATCACAGAGCAAACTCTGCTTAGTTCTTTAGAAGTTGAGGCTTTTGGGCTTTCTGCTTTCTGACACATCTGTGGTTGTAAGATAATACCTTTTCAACACTTTTGGGCTTTCTACTTTCTGATACATCTGTGGTTGTAAGATAAAGCCTTTTCAACACCTATAAATAAGTTCCTTTATGAGAAAATAAGTTAGGTAAGGTTCTTGTTTTCCTAGTTTGGGTTTTTGTTTAAGCATAAATTCACCTCGTGATCTGTTATCATTGTTCAGTCTTTTTATTACTTTTTTTTTTCCTAAAATAATGTACATAAAAGCTGGCTTCCTATTTTGAATTCATAGCTGAACTAATTTACAAATAGATTTATTTTCTGTGTAGTATTAGTAATTAGGTTGTAAAGCTGCAATTAGTTTGCATGTACTTTAATTCTCATTCTTGTTAGATTTAATTATACCTTGTTTTCCACTTTTGAATATATATTATATTAAAAATCATTCTAACAGAGAGAGTCTTCTATTTATTACATGTTCAATAGTTTCTAAGTAGTGTTAGAAGTCCTTGTTGCTGTGGCATTCCACTGAGGTTTAGATCTCAAATGTATTTGAAGATACTCAAATAGAACACATTCATTTTTTTATGCCATTCACTTTTAAGTTCTTTGTAATTATTTTTATGTGTATCATTCACCTCAATGATTTACATTTTCTCTATTCTCAAACAATGACACTCTTAATTTATACATGTTCTAGATTTTATATTGCCAATAGGCAGCATATGTTGCATTTCATCGTTATATGCAGACAACTTGTTTTCTGGCCCTAAGAAACATAAAACCAAGGAAATTCCCAGTGATGAAATTCCTCAACTTCAGCAAGGCTTTGTCACTGTCTCTCACAGCCTTGTGTGCTGTCAGAGCATCAGACTAAAGCTTCAATATGTGAACCTCCCAGTTCTGGGAATAATGTGATTCTCAGTTGTTTTTCAGTGGTATACGTTGCACTCCTCTTTTATAATTGCTCTTTGTCTGCCCTCAGAAACATCAGTTTGCAAGTTAAAACCATAATTGCATTTAATTTCAGTGCAAAAATGAAAGTTGATGTTGTGGTTTAACCCTGATAGACAGGTGATCCCTCACAGCTGCTCACTCACTCCCCCTCAGTGTGATGAGGAGGAGAATCAAAAGGGTAAAAGTGAGAAAATTTTTTATGATTTTTGCCTCTTCCCCCTCTTGTTTTTGTGGCTGCTGTGCTGCAGAGCAGACCTCCGCTTCTGCTGCTCCCTCCTGCTTTGTCTGACACAGTCTGATCAAATCTGCTGGTATCTACCAGAGTAGGTGTTTGTGGTTTTATCCCAGAAAGCTCCTAAATCCCACACATTCACGTACTTCCTCTCCAGTGGGCTGGGAGGCAGAACTAATAGGGTAAAAGTGGAAATTCATGGTTTGTGAGAGTTTAATAAGCTTAAAGAAAAAGAAACAGGCAGAAACAATAAAAAACCCAAGTGATAGAAAGCAGCCCCATCTGACCAGTGCCCAGTGAGTTCCTAAAAATAGCACCACAGCCAAGCTTCCTTCTTGGCTTTTATTGCTGAGCATGGCACCGTGTGCTCTGGATATCCCTGGGGTCTGCTGTCCCTGCTGTGTCCCCTCCCATGTCCCTGTGCACCCCCAGCCTCTCGCTGGGCTGTTCTCAGAGACAGTGAAGTCCTGCTTGTTGTGCAAGTGATGCTTAGCAATGGCTGAAGCATCCCTGGGTGTCAATACTGTTTTGATCACAAGCCCAAAACACAGCCCATATTGTGGAAAAGACTATCCCAGCCAAAACCAGTGCAAACACTGGTACAGTTTGGTACACCAGTTGAAATCCATGTGTTTATGGATTTGAGTAAAGAGGAGAATGAGGTTCATGCAGTTGTATGTGGATGTGTGTTGATTTAGCCTTTAAATACAGAAAGGAAAACAAATAGAATTACCTTCATGTTAAAATTCACCTGAAGACTCAGGTAATCAGGAAACACTGGGAAGAGAAGTAAGACACTATTTGAGTGACTGATTCTGTGGTCATTTGGCACATCACAGTGTGACTTTCAGCATATCTCCCAAGATGTTTCTGGACTGTTTTGTTCTTCAGTAATATTTTCTTGTAAGGCCTGGTGTTTACCCCCAAATTTAGGAGAATTGGTTGCAGAAAAAAAATACATAAGTATTAAATATTTTTTTTCAAAAGAGTAAGTATACCTGCTTTTGTTTCTTGGTCAGTAGTAGCTGCTTCCTACATGACAGTGCTGTCTAGTTTCAGATCCCTTTCTGAGCCTGTTGATACATCTGGCCTTCAAGATTCTGAAGCACTGATTTATACAGCTGTAGAAATCCAGGAGTATTTTCTGATAGCTTTCTTTGGTTGTCTCTTTGTTCTGACTGCTGCTCCCTTAATGCTACACTTTTTCAAGATTATGTGGTCATTCCTGTTCCCCTCTTCTATGCCATGCTACTCTTAGAGATTTTCTTACAGACCTGTTCCCTTTCAGATTTTCATTTCTGAGCTGGAGAGTTGATTAATTTAATGCAGTTTGGATTTTCAGTACCAAAATCCTGTATTACTACTTGATCTTCTGAAGAGATCTGAGTCTGTTTTGGCAATACTGCTGTGTCCATGAATTACAAACCTTGTAAATGAAAATTCTGGTCTAACCATTCAGAATAATTTTAGAAATCACATTTTGTTCAAGCTCCTGTTGTTCATGTCTATCCTGTCCTGATTGCCCAGCCCACACCTTCACCCCAGCCTGCTGTTCAGTATCATCAACCCACTGCTCACAGAATAAGCATGGAAAAGAAAGAATGATGAGATAACATATATATCTTGTGAAATTATGGTTTATCAACTCTACTAGATGTACCAGAATGGATGTAATGATGTAGAATTACAGTATTGCATAATAAAATTGTACTGGACAAATACAAAACCAAGAGAAGCATTAATATAATAGGATGGCAAAATGATAGATAAAAGATCATGAAATGCAGTTACTGTGAGAATCAGAAGTTATTGTACAAACACCTCAGTTGTATGCTGAAATGTTTAAGAAAAAGTCAGTTACCATCACATCTTTATGAAATTACACATTTGTGGAAATCTTTCTTTTGAAGATAAGGAAACCTCCTAATTTTTAATTTAAAAAAAAAAAAAGGAAAACAAAACAGACTGGCTAGTCATTGTAATTTATTTGACATGTTTATATCCAGTTCCATTCAAATCTGAATGATGTAAATTCACATAAAAATTAATCTAAGTTTATAGCTAGCTGAGGTGAAACCTTATGTTTACTTTGTTGAAGCAGAGTATTATATCTTCTGTAAAATTAAAATATTAGATGAAATTAGCAAAAATCCACAGATTTTGCAGAGCTTGATGTCTGGCCTCTATTTCTTTCACCTTTCTGGTCTGTTATGCCAGACATTTAATTTGTTCATTGTTGTGCTGCTTTAGTCATCTTTGTGCCAGACATTCCCACCTTCAGCTCTCTGGTTTTTGAGAAATGTTACAGTTTGGAATTTGTTTGTGCCTAAATACATAAAGCTGTTTAGTATCTGAAAATGTAGCTGTAGCTATGAAACATTGCTATTACATTGCTGTTCACATGGCATCAGCAATTGCCAGGGAGGAAGCATGCAACTGGCATGTGTGGCTTTGGAAATCTAGGAGTAGACCAATACCTGAGCCTGGCTGATCTTTTTGCTCCATTCTGTGAGTTGATGTTCCTTGCTGAACTGTTTGTGCAGTCATGAAATTTGTCACATTGAAGGAAATCTTAGGAAATACCCACCTCATCTCTCCTTCATTTATTTCGAGTTTTCTGAAAGCATTGCTTGCTTTTCCTCAAGTGTTTGACCTTGACACTCATTAAAATGTTGGAAATACAAGGGTCCTAGTAGGATTTTAATTTTGCTGCTTAATACAACTAAGACTGTCTTCTGTACTTAAAACTGAATTGATAACTGTTATATTCTTCACCTAATTTTTAAGACTCATATTGCTAAATTCGAAAATATTTTCTTTAAAAATACATTTATAAATGTAATAAAAATACTGATCTCTTAGAAACCTGTGAAAATGGAGAAAACCATAAAATACATAAGATCTGTAATGGTCTCTAGATCTTTCGAATAGGACAGGATTTACTTTTTGCAAAAGGAATCTATTATTTACGTACACAAGCAACTAATATTAATGTGTATATACAAGTTTACAGGTTCAAACCCCTTTGTGAAAATCTCCCTAAAGGGTTAGTGTTCTAGTTTAGTCCAACACAAAATGTCTGAGAACTTCCTAATTTATGTTCTTAGATAAACAAGAGCAAAAAAATTCTTCTGAAAAGTAACTTCTCATTTTCACAAACAGAAGTAAGACTTCTCATTTTTCTTAACAGGAGGAAAGAGGCAGGATTAGTAGCTGTAGAGTAGAGGATTTTTTGATCTGAAATTGGTGACCCAGAGTGACAGAGATCCATTTAAACATTCAAATCATAGACTTCTTCCTTGAGTAGCTGGAGTGAGGAGTGGTGGTAGATAATCGCTCTGGAGTGTATTGGCCAAGTTTTATGTCTGAAGTGCTCTCCAGGTTTAGGCTTGACTCTCCATGAAGTTTTCTGCAAATCAGTTGGAATACAGTTTTACGGACACTTCTGGACATTAGGAAATACATAACTGGGTCTAGGCAGCTGTTAAATGATGAAAATATGAGCATCACCTCATTGCACGTGTGAATGATCTCCATCCAATAACAGGATGGGGTTTGTAACTGTGATGTGATGTAGACAACCCGGAATATGTGATAAGGCACAAAACAGACTGTGAAAATTATGAGAACAATGAAGGAATTTCTTGCTGTCTTGGTGTATTTTCCTGCATTGGGAAAATTTGCCCTTTTCCTCGAAATTTTCAGAAGGTTCTTGGCAATTTTAACATACGAAAGTATCAAAAGGAAAAAAACTATCCAGAAAATCAGTACAGTGATATAATTTAAAATTGCTTCTGTCTTCTCTGCATTCTGTTTGGTTCGGTAATGGAAGCACTTGGTGGAGTTGCTGTCCTTAGTCTTAAAGAAAGATGGTGCAACTACCACTATAAATCCTGTCAGCGCAATCGCCCACACCGTGCAACAGATCTGCACACTCCGGGTAGTGCTTAGCATCTTTGGACGCTTCACAGACTTAGTGATTTTTATATAACGATCCAGACTAATTAATCCCAACAGTACTATGCTAATGTACATGTTCATGTAAAACAGAGTTCCCACAACCTTGCAAAAAATCCGCCCAAACATCCAGCGGTTGGTGGCATGGTAGAGTATCCGAAAGGGAAGACAGAAGATGAGCAGGAGGTCTGCAACAGCTACGTTTAGCAAGTAAACTTGGATAGAATTCCTCTTCTGATTAATGCCCAGGAAAGCAAACAGGGCTATGATATTTCCAACCAATCCAACTACAAAAATAATAGAGTAAAAAGCTATCAAAGCAAGTGACAGTGAGTTGTTGTCATCCAAGGAACAGCTGGCATCATTGTGACTTTCTGAGGCATCTATGGTCAGGTTGGTTTGGTTACTCCAGAATTCTTCCTTGTGTGGACCAATGGTTGATAAATCAGCTGAAGTTGCAGCCATCATTTGCAAAGGGGTTTTAGCTGTTCTGCAAAAAGACAAAGAGATTTTAAGAATTAACTCTCCATTCAAGTGTCTGTTTGCTTTATAGCCTAACAGTCTAATTTTGGTATAAACATAAAAGGCAGTAGCTAAAAGGAATAAATGCACCAAGTATTGCTGTAGCTGAACAGAAAGAGTTTCAGCCAGATATCATAAAATAATATAAGTCTATGTAATCTGCAGGCAAGAAAGAACAGATAGTGTAGAGTATTCATAGATAAATATTTCTGTAATTACAGCGTTATTACTGTTTTGTGTTGTTTTAAAAGTCAACTATTACATTTTGCTGCAAACTTAAGAATTTTCTTTATCTATAAGAATAAATAATTTTTTAAAGTTCACTTCTTAGGACCAGAATTTCTAGCACAGAAAAAATTTTAATGGTACAGTAAGCATAACTAAGTATTCTCAGTGTTGACACAAAGTACATAGAACTATATTAAAGGACGTCTAAACTCATCTGTGTTAATTTTAAATAATTCAGATCTCTCACATGCCACTCACTGGCTCTCAATTACAAAAGCACTCATCAATTAATAATATTTACTTGGCTATGTACTGTGTTATAAGTAACTCTGTGAGACAGTATTATTGCAGTAGCTTGTTTTTAATAATCTGTACCTTCACATAAATGTGGTTTTTCCTTTTCTTGGCTGTTCACAAATCAGTAGTACACAATCTACTATTAGCTGGAAATCACAATAATGCAGTAACAGGCTGTTTTCAAACCTTTCTTGTTTTCATGGTTTTCTTTGCATTCATGAAATAGTTTTTAATTTCACTAAGCTCATTGCTGACCAGGAAGGTACAATGTGAAAGATAAAATCAGCCTTGACCAGTGAAGGAAAACCAGAAGTGTGTGGTTTGGAGAGCAGTCACGTGAAGGCAGTGATGTTTATTGCTGATAACTAATGATAAAACTTCAGTCTTCAACTTGTTTGTCATAGCAAGAAGAAATGCCATTAAAAAGTTTATTTAGTATATTTTTGTTTTACAGAGGAAAGAGGTTTTTTCCCATAATCTCACAGAATTTTCAGAAGTGGTTTTGACACTCTGAATTTAGTTGTTACGGAAAAAAAACAAACAAAAAACCACTGCTGTATATGTAATCTTAAAATAACTTTTATGCTAGGTCTGTGTCTAGGCCATGCAATTTTCATTCTAGGTCTTAAAAAATACAAATTTATATTTAATTCTGTGGTGCAGCCGCAGCACTGAAAATGACAACACTTTAGGCAAAATTCTTAAGAAGAGCTAACGTACTTACAGAATCTGAATTCTTGAGAGGAGAGTCTAAAACATTTTAACATCCTGTGTTGTTTTACCCTACAATTACATTAAACTGGTAGGGTATGTTAGCAGTTTCAAAACCAGCTGTTCTCATACTTGCCACATGATATTGCAGGGCAAGTAATTTCAAGAGATTGATTTCAAACTGCAGTGTTTTTAAATACATGTTGAAACTCATCTACTGCAAAGACTTCATGTTTAGGTTGCTTTTCTATGAAATTGTTTCATATGGAGACTTGCATAAGGAAGTTTAGATCGATGAGAGAGAAACTTGGGTTACGCTGCAAAGGGATCGGGAACAAAACTTCTTGCTGTCATAAGTTGTGTCACCTCTAAGCAAGCAGATGTGCTTAAATCCAGGTATACTTAGCAAAGGATTTGGAGGTCAGCAACATCTCTGCAATTAAGAAAACTACAGCTGAAGTATAAAAGAAGTCACTTACCATTTAGGTGTTAAGAAGTTCTGCTGGTTCTCAAATCCACTGGTAAAGACAGGGAGGAGAAACGTGCAGGTCCTTTTATTAGAAAGCTGCAGCAGCAGCTTCTCTCTGAAAGCAGTGAGCTCCAGCTGACTCGTGCAATTGGCAACAGGGGGAAGTTTTAACTGATGTTGCAACTGGTTTGCATTGTTTTTTTTAAGGGCTTTTTTACTTGGCCTTCCCCGGTTCTTTTGGGTTTTGTTGGGGGTTTTTGAATTTTTTTTTTCTCAATTTTGCACTGGATTGGAGATTTGAAGTGTTTTTCTCAAATGCTTTGTTTCTGGTGGGCAGTGCCAGTGGTTTTTTGGGTGATAGTGATGTTGGTACAGTTTATCATCTCTTTAATGCTTCCTGGAATTAGTGTCACTTTTTTCCAGTAGAGGGTAAAGATAAATCAGCACCGCCGTGGAATGGGACATTTTGTAAATGTTTATATAGTTCTCCCATCTACCTTTCTCCTTGCCTGGGATTAGAACTGTTCTTCTTTCTCACTCCAAATGACAGTGATGAGAGGATGTGAAAGTGCCTTAAGTGTGCATCTTAGCCATTTCAGTAAGGCAGAAGTGAAATACAATATGCAGCAATAATACCACCTGGTAATACTCTTCCAAGTGAGCCATAGGAATTGAAAATTACATTTATGAATTAGAAACTTAAGAGTAGATTCTAGAAGACCTGATATGACAAGGTCTAAATTTAATGAAGATCTCAAGAACATTGTTTTGAAGATATTTGTTCTCATATAATTTAAACTTTTACAAAAAGACATGGGTGGCTAGAGATGGTGACTTTACAAGTAGTCACTTTGAACTTCTGGTAGCTCCTGTGTAAT